TAATTTTAAAAAATGAAAATAATTATAAAAAGTATATTTTTATAACAAATAATTAAATTTAAATATGTATAAAAATTTAAATAAAATATAAAAAACAAAATATATTAAAAAAATGAGTAAAAAAAAAAGTCTTCTGTTTTACACTTGTATGAAAGGGAGTCAAATGTAATTATATTTAAAGAAAACCATTGCTCTTTTTTTAGAGTTATTTTGGATGTGAAAAAATATTTAGGATTTTAAGCAAAACTTTTAGAGTTTTGTTTAAAATCCTATATAATATAAAAAAAGAATAGTTGAGTTTTCTATCATTATGTATTTTAAACTTTTAAGTTTTTATCAAATACCTTAAAACCTTTTAGACACTCCCTAACAATGTGAAGAATATCAAACTATGTATACCAACAGGAGACTAATAGAGCTATTGTGAGTGCATTCCTATTTCAAACTTGTTTATCTCTGAAAAATTTAAACCAGAGTTTAAAATTAGTATGATTTGAAAAATAAAGAAACTAATGAGGAGTAGGGCTGCTAGTTGGAATATGTTTAAATGTTTAACAATTTATTGCCAAACTTAAAAAGAATTTTTTTCTCCTAAAGATTCAAACTTAAAATTTAAAGATAAAATTTTTTTGGCTTTTTTTTTTAAAAGATAAAAAGCTTTTTTTTTTGGCTAATTGAAAACAAAACATTTTTTATTATTAACAAACTGATATAAGTACAAATTGTTTTTTTTAATATTGTTGAACTTTTTGAAAACAACAAGTTATCTTTTATGGTCTGTTTCTGTTGTGTCTGTTTTGCAGCTCAAAAAATATTCATAAAATATCCTCAAAACATTTGAATAGCGTTAGCTTTTTCTTTAAAAAGTAAACAATCAGTGGCCATTTGGCCTAGGGATGCCAAATATTTGGGTTTTCACTGTTTATATTAATACCAAATACCCCAAATAGTGACCCCCCAAATATTTGTACAAATACTAAATAGTAAAATGTATGAAAAAAATCAATTGATTTCAATTCAAATTTTAGCTTTTATTTAAGAAGTGATATTTTAAAAATACAAACATATTCAATTTTTCTTTCATTCTATTGCGAAGTTTAGTCTAGAAGTTTCCAGCTACAGAAAAGGCTCTTTCAAAGTCTGTTGATGTTGCTTGCACAGTTAATAAGGCATCATAGATCATCTGAAGTTTATCTGTACATTTTTTTGTTTCTTCAAATGCCTTAATTTCATTTTCGATTGAAGTTTTGACTGTTTTCTGATGGTTTACAAAGTGGTTGATAGTGTCATCAAGCTTGTATGTTGTATTTGAATAATTTTCATCATCATTTTCCTCCAAAAATGATTCTGGAATTATTCTTGTATTGAGTTCCTTAATTTTTTTTTCTAATAGTTAATTTAGACGAATATTTAAAATAATTTTTTTTTTTTTGGATAATCACCAGTGTGAAGAAAAATCAATGTTGATATTAAATCAACATTTCTTCATGAATCAATTTGAGTTTTTAAATTTTATAACATTTTTGCAAAATATCACTTTTCTGTGCGTTAAGTGTGTTGAATAAATAGATAAATGATCCTTCTGCCACCATCAAATTGCAGCATTTAGAGCTTAATTTTTTAATAACTTCTTTAACAGGAATCAAACAATCTATTATGTCTTTAACTTTAGTTTTAATGCTTTCATCATATGAACCTTCAAATTCAATTATTGTAGATTTTTCAATTTCTTTTAGTTCATAAAATCTCTGCAACATAAGAAGTACACTATTCCATCTTGCCTTGCAGTCAATTAATAAAGTTAACTCTTTTCCTGTTGTTTCTTGGACATTTTCTTTAAAGCGAGCAATTTTCGAGATTTTCTCATATATCCTCAAATAACTGATATAACATCAAAGTAGGATTTTTCCATCGGTAAAGAGCTTTCTTGTTCATCAAAATCTAGTTTTTCATCAATACCTTTATCTTCATTATCAAGTTCAACATAAATATTATATTCATCCATCTTTTCACAATGTTTTTGTTATAAACAATCAACAATAGCTAAATTTATTCCATGATTGTAACAAAGTTGACTTTCAAATGGCATCAAGGTGGCATATTTTTTCATTATGGGCGCTCCATCGTTTATAGTTGAGACAAAATATCTTCTGAAATGTCAAGGATAATGTCCTGGAGTTTTTTTCTGACAATTGTTTTCAAGTTTTCAGCATTACACCTACCTGATTCAACAGAAGTTAATGCAAATTGCTTAGAATCAGTGCCATAGTGAATTTTTAAATTTAAATATCTCTTTAATGTATTATCAGTCCACTCATTAATTATTGTACTAAATTTCTTTCCCATGACTTTAGGCTCTTGAATTTTTAATACAAATTCATTAAAAACTTCTTTGTAATATTTTTTAATGTCTTTCCAAACTGTTGATCTTGATTTGGGCATTTGATGACTGCGTGATGACAAATATGATTTAGTAGCATCCAAATTTATTATTTGATTAATTAAAAATCTATCTTTGGCTGTACATTTTGATATTAACAACTCTCTAGACTCTCGAACTGTAAAACTTGTTATTGGGCGTTGAATTTTTTGATTACTTGGACCTTCTCTTGATTCTGATGTATTCTTTCTTTTAAGAGACATATCCATGCCATGTTTCAATTTTAAATGATTCATCAAATTTGTCTTTCCATATTTAACAATCGTACAAATTTCATTACAGTTGCCAACTTTACATTTTGCCTGATTTTTACCGATTTTTACAAAATGTTTCCACACTTCACTCGTCAGTTTCTAAATAAAATTTTAGTTTAGTCAACGTAACCTAAAAAAGCATGTTCTCAAACCTGATAGTAGTATATATATATAACTTCTTTAATTTCAATAGTTACTTGATTAAATTCACAATTAAACAAAGGTAAATTTTAAAAATTTTCAGTAGTAGTGAATTAATTATGATATAAAATTCATGAAAATTGTGTATCTTGGAGATTGAAATAAAGTGTTTGTAACAAATTAGATTTTTAAAAATGTGACAGTTATTTTTTTAAAAAATGCTAAAAAATAATTTAAAAATTTTTGCACTACAAATATTTGATTAAAAATACAAATATTTGAGTGACCCCAAATAGTGCTAAAAACTCCAAATACCCAAATAACAAATAATTGGGTTCAACATCCCTAATTTGGCCACATTTTGTTTACATTTGAAAAATACTGAAACTAAAATTGTAAAAATTTAAAATAAAGAGTTAAAATAAAGTGTTTTTTTGTTAAAATAAAAATGGCTACTTTAAAAGATGTTAGCACAATTAGAAAGACATCTAATATTTGAAATTATGATTAATATTGATTTTCTCAAGAGCTGCAGCACTCAATGTTTAAAATTTGCAAAATTAAAAACTCCTGGGTCAACATTGTGCACCATTACAAAATACTTAAAGCATTCTAAAATTTTAACACCTTGACCTCTGAGGGTATAGAAACTAGCATTGTCACTAAAATACTAAGAATTAGTATTGAGGTAATAAGAAAAACTTTTTTAGTTTTATTCTTAACTTTACTTAAAACAATACTTTTTGAGTCTGGTTCATCAAAACAAATGATTCTAAGTAATATGCCTAAACTAGCTATAGAAGCACTTTTCAAATGAGATGCTGATTTATTGTCTTCTGATAATGTAATTCAGTTTATCAGAAAAGCAAATACATCAATTAGTCAACTTGTAAAACAAAAAGTTAAAAAAAGAATCCTTGAAAGCACATTGATTTAATACACCCAATAAAATATTTGATAAACTCAGATATTTTAAATCAAGTTGATCAGTTTGAAAAATAAAAATAAATGCTGTAAATCATTTCATTAATTTTGTTCAAAGATTATTTCAGTTTAGTGAAGAAAAAAATTCGATATGTTTTTTAATGTTCTTAAAACAATTCCTCTCCAGAAGCTTAAAATTTCTTTAGCTCATAGATCAAGATCAATTAGTAAAAAGTTTGTGGTTAATGTTTTGTGGTTAATGTTTTGGTTGTATTTTTAGATTAACTACTCTGTTAAAAAAATTATTTTGATGAAATTTTAATCTGTTATAATGTGTAGTATACTTTTTATTTGAAAAATGTATATTGGCTGGTGGCACTTTTTTGGTGGTGGTGATAGTATTGGGGCAGTGGCGGATTAAAAATTCTTGGGGCCCGGGGCTATTTTTGTTTTTGGAGGCCTTTTTATGGGCCAGAACCTAAAAATGACTTTTTTTTAAAATAAGGTCCTCTAAATTTTTTTGGGGCCCCTAAATTTGTGAGGCCTAGGGTTATAGTCCCCCCTTGATCCGGCACTGTATTGGGGTGGTGATGGTAGTGGGATGTTCCCAGGCTCTAATTATTAAGCTTTAAGATATTAAATATTGATTATTAAAATGTGATATGAAAATGTAAGCATATAATCAAATATACAAAAATTTCTGGATTTCACTGTAGCTATTTCCCACAAAACTTACTACAATATTTCCCAAATTTTTCTTTTTTTTTTAAGTCTTACATATTTTATTTTAAACTATTAGTTATGGAAACCAAAACATTTTTAAATTTAAAAAATGTAAAAAAGATTATTAAAATTCATTAACATTAAAGTTCAATTTTTCATGTAATCTGAGTTGTTGTTTTTTGTTCAAAATGATTTTAAATATAAACCTATTTAGCATTAATAATTTTCAAGTTACCACAACTTAAAAAGTAAACACAACAGTTACCTCAGCTTAAACAGGTAATTGCAATATAAAATTACAATATTATTACTTCCTAAGCACTTTAACAAAATTTTACTGAACACTAACAATATTTGAAAATAAAGTTAATAAAAATTAATAAACAAACAAAAAATAATTAAGATATACATTTTATTCTATTTTACAAGTAAACTACTAATATTATAATATTTAAATACATTACTATATCATTTTTACTTTAAAAAGGCAATTAATAACACTATAAATTTATTTCTAGAAATGGTGCGCAAAATATTGGTGCACAACATGGCAATTTACAAAATAATGAACATCAAGAACCTGGTCAACAAGAATTAAATAAATATAGGCTTGGTTTCAAAATTTTTCAGGAATGGTTAACATTTGATGCCGAAAAATTACTCCATACATTAAATGCAGAAAGAGCTTTTCAAGCTATGTTAGAGAGTAAGGAAGTAAAAGAAGAATGGATGCCAATTATTATAAAGATTTTATCCATTGCTGTTGATAGTAAATTGTCACGTCAACTACTACAAAATTTTTTGAAAACCCTTACCCAGTCCTTATTTTTTCGAGCTAATGTTGGTAAATTTATAGTAAAGTTATTAACCAGCAGTAATGTTGTCAATGTTGAAGAAAGTAAACTGTGCATCAAAAATTTGCTAGTCATTTTTAGAACTATGTTTAAAACTATGCCTAATGCATGTGACAATATATTGCCAGTCATTATAAACATAGATTGTCTTTCCAAAGAAAGAAAAGGAGAGTTACTAATGTGTGATGAATCAAGGTGCTTGTTAATGGAGTTGAACGAAATTAAAGATGAAGTTCATGTCAACTTGAAACAAGAATATAATAAAAGTAGTGCTGATAATGTTTTCGATATGGGACCACCGCCTAATGACTTTTGGACTATTTCAATATTTCCAACAGCTCTAGACATTAATCCTGAAAATGACATTTATTTGCGACAAAATAAGATAAAAGGTGGATATGAGAACGTTGATCATTATTTAGATGTTCAATTTCGCCTTATGCGAGAGGATTTTGTTGCCCCGCTTCGTGAAGGAGTTAAAATGTTCCAGGAGCAACTTTATTTAAGAAAACCTCGTCATTTAAATAATTTACATGTTTACACTAATGTAAAAATTCTTTTTCCTGTTTGTACTGCTAATAAAGGATTAACTTACAGAATCAGATTTGATATTGAAAAACTAAAACATGTTCGCTGGGAGGTGTCGCGTCGATTAATTTTTGGTTCTCTAGTATGTCTATCACAAGATAACTTTAAGACAATCCTTTTTGCTACAGTATCCGACAGAGATACAAAATTAATTAAAAAAGGAGAGCTGGAACTTAAATTTGAGCAGGGTGTTGACCAAAATAAAGTGTCAGAAATATCTGCTGACCAGACTTTTTTGATGGCTGAAACAAGTGCATATTTTGAAGCTTACCGCCATGTTTTAGTAGGTTTACAAGAGATGCGAAATGAAAACTTTCCATTTGAGCGTTACATTGTGCTTGCAAATAACAACATTTTACCTCCAAGATACTTACAGAGAAATGTAGTTGAAAATGGTATTTTTGATTTAAGACCTGTTGTTGATGCTAAATCAGTGTTAAAAAATCAAGATTTTAGTGATACTGATGAAGATCTAGGAAGTAGTGATGACGATATATTTCTGGGAGCACATATAACAAAAGATAAAACTAAATACAGTGATACAGCTGAAAATGTAGCTAAAGCTGTTAAAATTTTGAATAGCCCATCTTGGCCTGATGCTGCTACATTACATTTGGATCCTTCTCAGTATAGAGCACTAAAAGCAGCTCTTTCTAGGGAATTTTCAATTATCCAAGGTCCACCTGGTACTGGTAAAACATATATTGGTCTGAAAGTAGTAAAAGCATTATTACACAATTCTAATTCTTGGTGTAGAGATCCTGTGACAACAGATGTTGAACCACGACCTATTTTGTTAGTTTGTTATACAAATCATGCTTTGGATCAATTTTTAGAGGGTGTGTCAAAATTTTTAAATAATGGGATTGTGCGTGTTGGAGGGAGGAGTCAGTGTAAAGCACTGGAACCATTTTTACTTAAAAATTTACGAAATAACAGTCGAAGTTTGAGAAAAGTTCCAGTGGAGATTTTTCGAGGTCGCATACAAGCTAGATCGGAATTAGATGGTTTAGAGGCTGAAATTAATAACATAAGAGAACAGTTGGAAGCTACTCAAAGAGGGGTTATACATGAAGACACTTTATCAGTTTCCATTGATAACAATCATATTGAAAGTCTTCAATTTGGTTACTTTGTTTATCAAGCTCAGAAAGATGTTAATGGGTGGTCAACTGTCAACTCAAAACAATCTATGATTATTGAATGGCTTGGCTTAGAAAATATGATGGAAGAAGACAACAACAAAATTGAACATGGATTTGATCAACTTAAGTTGGAAGATGAAGACGATTTAGCAATTGATGATGAAGTGCAGCATGAGATTGAAAATCGGCGATTAGATTTAGAAGATGACTCAAAGGAAAAAACTAAAAATTCCAAAAAAGAGTTGAATATAAACAAATATTTGGCAATGAATATTGAAAATCTTGATAATGATGTTGATATGATAAACAAATTTATACCTGTTAAAATTTCAAAAAGAAAACTTAGGCAAAGGTTAAAACTTTTACTGCATGGTGGTGCTGCAATGACTTCGAATGAAGCTAATGCTATAAATGATGTTTGGGCTTTAGCAACCGAAGACCGTTGGAAGTTATATCGTTATTGGGTGAATTTGTATCAAAATTATCTTAAGCTTAAGGTCAGTAATTTAGAAGTTCAGTATCAAAAAACATTCAATATTGTTGAAGAAATGCTTCAATTAGAGGATCTTAATATTATGCGAAAAGCAAAAGTAATTGGCATGACAACTACTGCTGCTGCAAAATATAGGAGTGTTTTAGGAGAATTAAGGTCAAAAATCCTTGTTGTAGAAGAAGCTGCTGAAGTACTAGAATCACACGTTGTTACTACGATACCAAATTCTTGTGATCATATTATACTAATAGGTGATCACAAACAGTTGCGACCAAGTCCAAATGTATACAAGCTTGCAAAGAAGTATAATCTTGAGATTTCATTATTTGAGAGAATGGTGAATAACAATGTACCTTGTGAAACACTGCAAGAGCAACATCGCATGCGCCCTCAAATATCAAATCTTATGCTTAATATATATCCTGAACTGAAAGATCACAATTCTGTTTTGATGTACGAAAGCATTAAAGGTAATTTTTAGTTTTTAAAGTGTTTTACTGTGAAGCATGTTTTGGGTACATAACATAAATATATACACAGATACATAAATATATGGTTGGAATAGCAACCATATTTTATGCAAAGTACACATATATTGATTAAATAAAAAAAAAAATTAACATCTGCTTTGCTTTTTCACTGTCATGACAGTGAGATTTAGATTTAATATGTAAGGGTATACAGTTTATAATTCTTTAAAATAACTAAAATTTAAATATACATAATAGTGTAAAATACAATAGGATTTTATAATACAATATAAATTTATAATATTGTTTACTGTTTACTCGTGCTCTCTTTTATTTATAGACTTTATAGTTATAGTCAAGAAGAATCTCATAAAAAAGAAGTTTATTTTCAAAAATCAGTTATAACAGCTGACACCTTGAGAAGATTAACTAATTGAAACATGCCAAACTTAAAAATTTATAAAGAAAATTATAAAGATTTTAATATTTCCAGATAGTGAAAAAGGAATTCTAGTCATAAATTAGTATCACTTTTAATTCAATTTCTTCTGAGCTAACTTTTAAAACCAGAAGATGATACAAATCCTATGTATCAGGCTTGGACTGGAATGGCATGCGATCGCACTCTGTAAATGACCATGCTAATTTTTTTTTTCTTTACAAATTTGATAGGAATGAATGAGTTTAAATCTTTTATAATAATTTTTAAATTCGTTACACGAAGTGCTTATTAATAAAGTTTTAATGCTCAAATTAAAATTAAGTTAAAATGCTTGTTGGCAGTTTATTTTATTAAAACCACAGGCGCATTTTATTTTTTTTATTTTTTCTATTTTTACGAATGAAAAAGTTGAAAACTTTTTTAATAAATTTAATCAAATTTGTTCATTTATTAAACAATTATTAGTTGTAATTTGTTACTTAATTTAAAAACGTTTTGCATAATTTTAAACATTTAAAAAGATAAGCTTTAATAACGTTTATTTCATACGTAATTAAAAATATAGCAAAAAGTTTCACTTCAAGTTTAAGTTTTTATCTTTATTTTAGTGCTTTTATGATTTCTTTTTCGTTACAAATTTGTTTTTCATTAGGAATTTTTTTTTCTTTAATTTTTTTTTAACTTTTCTCCTAGTTTAAGTTTAGCTTAGAGTTTCTAGATTCAGAGCATTTCTGAAATTTTTAAATAATCAAAACATATAAACAATCGTGGTCAAGTTTTCAAAAATTAAAATTATTTGCGTGGTCACCAATATTGCTCAATCGCATGCTATTCCTGTCCAAGCCTGATGTGTGGATATCCAATCCATCATAAGTAATTTGAAGTATGGCTAGGCATGCTGGATATGGTTCAGGGATAAGTTTTTTACGCTGGTTTCTAGTAATACATAATTGTTGTTTCTGTGGAAAAATATGTTTGTTTCTGGAATGTCTGAGCTAACTTTTAAAGAAGATAATATAAGTCCTATGTATAGATGTTAAATCCATCAGAGGTTATTTGAAGTATGGCTGGGTTGGCTGGATATGGTTCAGAGATAAGTTTTTATGCTGATTTCTAATAATACATAACTGCTGTTTCCAATGGGGGAACATTGTTTAAATTTTCAATTGCTTATCAGCAATTGAAAATTTAAATAATGTGATGGTGAGATAACTTCAAGTTAATAAACTTCCTTTAAACGCATCATTTAATTTTTTTTGTGAAAAAGTTGATGAAGATTTAACAACATTTAACTAAATAATAAGAGTAATTTATCACACACACAACATCGTTAATATCGTTATTTTCATTGTCTACTTCATCATTCTCATTGTTATAAAAAAACCAGGGGGAGACATTTGTATTCTTGATAAAGAGGATTATGAACAAAAAATATTTGAATTTTTAGTAGATGGGATTGCATATAAACTGTTACAGTACTCTCAAGTTCCTAATAAACGTACCCTACCCCCCCCCTACCCCCGTTTATTAATTTTTGGATATTTTTCCCACCCACTCTAAGCTTATTAACACCCCCCCCCCCCTGTTTATTAATTTTTACTTGTTATCAACAAAAAAATTATATATTATCTCAAAAGTAAAATAATTTTCAGTCACCGATAAAAACAAAAGTGTAAACGGTTTTACAACTTGTCGACCTATTAAATCTCGATTTGCTAAAAATGAACTTTTAGTTTATTTTAGTTTATTTTTAGTTTATTTCTCAACAAAGCTTTGGTTTTAATTATAGGATTTAATATGCTGAACATAAGTTTTATACTTTGCAAAGTATAAAACTTATATCAGCATATTAAATCCTATTCAATTATGATAAAAAAAACATGCATAATTTGCATGGTAAATAAACGGGGGGGGGGGGGGCATTTAACATGCCACCCCACCCCCACCCCACCCTCCACTCCCGTTTATTAAATTTTAGAAAAAAAACTGGTACTCAATGTTAAAACACCAAAAAAGCTTGAATAAACAATCTATGCCCTCTACGATAGATGTGCTAGCTTCAAGCAAAACCTTTTTGGTTGCTATCTTTATGGAGAGAATTTTCACTCACTCAACCCCTTGTATTAATATTACTGGATAAGGCGACTCCAACTTCTCAGCAACATCTTGTAGTCCATGCTCTGCCTAATTTTACAATAAAAAGTTGTTTGCAAATTACGTTACGCTTTTAGGGGAGGTCATAGATTTTGTGACAAGCTGTGAAAAGAAGCATTACTTATAATATATATTTTGTGACAAGGAGGGTCTAAAAAGTTGTTGTTTTGAGTGACAAAATTTGCGAATGACCCCTAACACTTTTAGATATCTTACTCTGTAAATAAATGAAATTCATAAAAAAAAAATTTCATCGTTGCAAACAAAGTATTTATTAAACCATTTGTGTTCCATAAACCCAGGTAGATAGAAACAGTAGGGCAAAATAAACTTATTTTTAAAAATTTTACTTATTGATGTTGGTAAATTTTAATTGATTAAATTTTTTTTATCAAAATTAATTTAAAAATAACATATAAATAAATATAAAATAATAATTAAATATTTAAAATTTCACACTTATTCAATCAAAATCAAAACAACAAAAAAATGCTAACAATTTTTTAACATTGTGTTTTTCAGATGCCATTACAGCCACAGCTTTGATGTAAATACTGTTTGACTGTAATACATATATTTAAGAGATCTGATATTTTAAAGACTTAAGAGATCTGATATTTTAAAGACTTAAGAGATCTGATATTTTAAAGACTTGGAATGGATGAAAAAACATGTAATAAACATATTTTAATATTGGGTCTGAAACAGTCTGATTAAAGATCTTGAAAATGTCTGATGCAGTCTGAATACTTTAAATAAAATTCCATAAATATTGATCTAAAAAATGTATATCCTGAAATTGAATACAATTTTTAGTGTATGTAATGTTAATGTTATGTTAATGTATCAATCAATTTGAGGCAATGTAAATATAAAAAAATTATAATATTAAATTAAATAGAGAATAAAAGTACCATCTCTGGGATAATCCTAAATTTCAGAAATTTACCCATTAAGCAGGATAATGAAGGTTGATCTGCAGAATGAGCCCAATTTTGTCAAAAAAAACCGTCGCCTTTGTAGAAACTTTGATTTCTTCTAAATGTGTACATGATAATGAATGAAGCTTTTCAATTTCATCAAGGTTGCTTGTTTCTGAAAATAATTGATATGATAATAATTGATAATATGAAAAACGTACACCAAGAAGCTTTTTACATTTATTATTTACATTATTTATATCACAGATATAAAAATTTTATTTTGTTACCAGAATAGATTTTTTTTAATGTTTTATATTTTCTGTAAGGTTTTTTAATGTCTTATTATTTATTTAATAGTGCCCCACCCACAGCCAATTTATGTTTGATAACTTACATGTTCTTCTGAACAGTCAATGTATGCACAATTACTTGTATCTTCTCCCTAACACTCTATAATTGTAACAATTATACAAAATTGATTAAACTTTATTTGATAAAAGGGTTGTTTTAAATAATTATTATTTTGCAAACTATATTTTTTCTTTACTTTAAAGGTAAATAGATTAAAACTTAAAAAAATAGATTTAAAATAGATTTAAAATTTTAAAAACATTAAATAATGGGTTGTCCTTAAAAATTAATAATTTGATAATTTAATAATCTAAAATTATCAATCGAAAACTGTTTTTACATAGTGGCCTACATAAATAAATTAAGTTACAGAAGTTATGTCATGTCATTGAAATCATTTTAGAAAATACACATGCTAGCAAAAAAAAAAACTTTAAACTTTAAATAACAAAAACTTTGACAACAAACCTGAACACAATGTGCACAACATCAAACCACTGGGGCAACGTACTGGACTTTGTAGGTCTAATGTATGAATTATTGGTTGAGACAAATCGGGATCTTTAAATTGATTCTTGTCGCGTGTCCTCTTATGTGACCAAACAAACTTTTTTTTTGTTAACCTAATTTACAAGAAAAAATAGTTAGAAAATGTAAGCACTTGTATGACAGGCTAAAATCTAATATGTTTATAGAAATTGAAATGTAGACATACAATTAAAGCAACATAAATAAAATAATATTGATGATGACAAGAGAAAATATTTTCTTATCATTATCATTTGTACATTTATATATACATTGATAAAGTTTGTTTTGTTAATTAATTAGCAAAATAGTTTGTTAACTAATTTTAATAACCACCAGGTAATTTTCTTCTAGCATTTTCTAAGTCTCTCTCCAAAAAGCCATGATGACTAGTTGAGTCATAAAAAATGCTTGCTGGAAGAATAAGTGTCTTGCTTAGCAATGTTGCTACCCAAATCTTTTGGTCGCAGGGTAGTTTCCATAAGCACTTATCATTTTGTGCTCAACAACTTGAACAATGTGTTGCCTACTGGAGATTAATACTTTACCAGAATCAACCACTGCAGTATATTGACAAGTGCTCTACAAAGATAATAAAATTATATTGCTTTACTGTTTATTAAAAGCTTTTGTCAAAAAATTGTAAAAAGCACGTCATTTAAGAAAAAAAGCATGTCATTAATAAAAAATTTAAATGAATTAGTTGAAACAAAGGCCTCATTGGCAGCTTTCTTTGAATAGCTGCTGTCAATGAATACACTAGAACCAGGTAAAATCAAACTGGAAGTTGATGCAATTTCATTTGGAGACAATAAAGGCAATAATATTGGTAAGTTGGATTTTTTAAAGAAACAGTTTATAAAATTTCAACATAAACAAACAAATGTTAATTAAAAAGTGATTAAAATAAACATTTATGAAATAACTCACACTATTTAACTCTAAACTAAATAACTCACACTATTTAACACAACTATTTTTATTTTATAATGAAAATTAATTAACCACATTACCACTGGTCCACTGCTGACCATCCATGAGTAGGATAAGAATTGTGTTCGATTATGCCAAACATTTTATTTTTCAAAATTAACTTTGTCAACTTTTGTGCCATCATTTTCATAGACAAAACCAACAACCTTATTTGATGCCAAACCAAACTTGCAACACACTGGAATAGCAGTCATTTGTCAGTATTATATATAGCAAAATGCCAACAGGTAAAGTAAATATGTAAAATAAAGAAAATAATTGTAAAACAAGTTTGACAAGACAATTTGTCAGGGATTATATAAAAAAAATTTAATTAACTCCTATTTAATTATAATAAATTAACAATTTATATATTTTATGTTTACTATGAATAAATAAAAAATATATATATTGCTACATAATTTTTTTAATTTTAAAAAATTGTATATGTCAGATTTATAAAGTGTGCAAATGTGCTTTCTTCTCCGGCAATAGTTATATTATTGTATGGATGATAGTACTTGAGCTGATTTGCCTGTAAAACAACCAGTATATTTCGATTAGCAGAACTCTTAATTCCAAAAGAATCCAAGTGTTCATGAAAATTTAAAGTTTCAATTGCGTAACATACAAGGCATATTTTTTTTGAAAGAGAAACAATGCATTTTAGCTCTCCAAACTGAGGACGACTCTCTACAGCATCATAGCACAATACACAACTAGGCTTGATTTCATAGCAGCCAAATCTAACTGATTGAGCTACATATGTTTTGTCACATTTTTCCAGGTTTAAAACTGTACATAAACTATTTGAAACTGTTGTTTGCAATTTGCCTACAATTACTGTATTACATAAGCCAATTTGTACATAATCAGTATACACTAGACGCACTATACAAGTTGTTTGCTTTGGTTTGAATTTTGAATTGGGTACGATGCATGACAGTTTTGTAAATGTTTTTAAAGTTGCAAACAACAGATGCGATTTCTTTAGCAAATCAATGTTTTGCCTCAAAACGCATACACCAATATCTGCTTAAAAGTCCATACTTTAACATAAATTCTAGATAATGCAGCATGAAATAGTGTTATGAAATCAGTCTCTTTTCAGGATATATGGCCTTGAAATAAGAATGATGTTCTTCTAGATTAAACTCTAGCTGATGAATGAGGCCAACAGTTATAGCTGGAGCAAATATTGCATCCATGCAATCTAGTAACAACAGCAAAACCCTCCAATGAGCATCATTTTCTGGAATTAGCTTTTCAATCATTAGAGGCAGATTTCAGATTAAACACCATGCTTCAGCATCTTGTATACAAATATTTTTTATGTTAACTGCTGGTGGTTTGCTGTTTTTGTCAGCCAATAGTTTATAATTTATATATTTGTATAATTATAGTTATAATTATTGATCGCATTGTTCAAATCTACAAGTGAAAAATATTTTTTGTCTATCAGTGATTGCAAAACAAGGCATACTTCTAAAGTTACCACACCTTCTAATACATCATGCATGTAGTCAACTGCGCCTGGTTGATGCAGTGAAACTGCGACAAGCAATTGAAAGGACACGGAATTGACAAGGAATTGAAAGGCTTAGTTCCAGATTTTAAAGCATTATAATTATTTGTTTGACTTTCTGACGCATAGGTCAGCTCGACCCAATTATTCAGCTCGAGTACTTCTGTTAAATATTCTTGCCTTGAATGAAGTTTGAGTTTCACTATGTGTACATTTGAAAAATCTTCAAAAATATGTGGCATTAATGGTTTCCATGAAACCAAACAATGTATGTGCTCATAAATTATCAGCTGAAAATGAATCAAAAATGCATGGATTGTTTGTTCTGCTCCATTCACTTTAACAACAACACCCTGTTCACTTTCTGATTGTTGCAATAAAGATACAACACTATGAAGAATTGGATAGTATGTGTATTTATCAGTTTGTGCATCTAGAGAATACCATAACCCGACTAAAAAGATGCTATCAGTCTTAGACTGATACTCGGGAGCTATATTCTGTATTATCATGTACAAAGCATCAATTTTATGTACACGTGTATGGCTTCCAAGCACATTTGTTACCTCAAATGCATCAATAAAAAAGTGAATGTTCATTGGTGCCGTTGAAGGAATGAATGATGATGAAAAATATCTGTATCAACAAAATCTTGTATTTTATTTGGGAGACAATAGGGCATGCACTGTGGGGAAAAAATCTTTGATGAAGCTTGTGCCTTTATTTTTGCAAGAAGGAGATCAATTGGCACAACATAACATTTGTCCTCTACTAAAATAGAATGGATTGATTGTAATGTCATAAAGTTTTGTTGCTCTTCACGCATACCCAGTGATATTTCCATTGCCTCAATGAAGTATCTGTGTTGTTTTAGCCATTTTTTTCTTTTGTATACAGTGTCTGCTTTGTGTAAAACACTAGATATAGTTTTTACATCCTTTATTGCATCAAAAACAAAATTAATAGTGGGAGACACTTTCAAATTAACTGCTATAGTCTCTATTGTCTGTGAAGCATATGTTGCAACATCATTGTGTAGACCAGACATATTTTCCATAATCAGCTGTGAATTGGCTAATGTGATGTTCGGTTTTGAAGTTATTTTTGTAATGACCTTCATAACAGATACTTCAATACTGTCTCTTGTTACAAAAATAGTATTAATTTTGCCTGTATTATCATTATCATATGAAGATGGCAATACTCCATTATTAGGTGGGCCCACATGGTTATGTGGTTCACTTTGCAAGTTTGTATTAATTGCATCTTTGTGGTGCTCACATTGAAAGTTGTTGCTATAAATTCAATTTTTGTTGAAGCTATACATTTAAACTGGCAACAGAATGATGGCGTTCAAAATGCTTTTTTAACTTGCTAAAACTAAGGAATACTCTTGGACAGTCGTTAAACATACAATGTAATTCTGATCCTCTTGTTGCTAAGCCATGAAAATTTTGAAAATGGCAAAAAAGATCAGATAAATTTGCAAAATAGTTTAAACATTTAAAACAATGTATGTTTTTCAAAATATTAATTGGTAATATTCACCTTTTGTAGCAAAATTGTCACTGTTGTTGATGGCAACAAGCTGTTTTGTTACACGATCAAAAGACCATACTTTGATTAGCACAGACATCCTGTAGGTGCATTAAAAAAAATACATTTAGTTTATCAAACAATGTAGCTTAAACTTCAACATTAGAAATAGAAAAATTACATTATTAATATAATTTTAACTTAATGTAATTGAGTTAAAAAACAACATAACGTTAATTACAGATTAAAATTCAATACACCTTTTTAAAAATAGTTACATAAAGTACTGATTTTATAAAAAATAATTTACCAGGTACCAGAAAAATTATCTTTAACAATTTTTGGTGTTTGATGAAATCAGAAACTTTTTTAACATGCGTATACTCCAATGTTAACTTTCAAAAGTACTCCGTTATATTACACTAAACGGAGTAATCTGTTGTTTTACTCCGTTATTCATTAATAAATTAATCCGTATCCACAGCAGAGTTACTGTAAACGGAGCTATTCCGTTAATGTTTTAACAGATTTTTTTTTAGAGTGTAGATCTGTAAATAATCTAGTGGAATACATGGAGGCCTGTAATTGATAAAAAAACTGTTAAAAAGTTAATACCTAATATAATGCCATGATTTTCTTTATTTTTGACCTTCCAAAAGTTCACAAAATCAATATTCCACTTGCCCTATAGTTTCTGGTTGTGATAGGCCGACAAATAACCTGTTTAAATTTATTACAAAATTTTTGCAGCCATTAACTGAAACACTCCCAGCATATTTTAAAGACACAACGCATTTTTTTAAAGTAATTAAATCTCCTACTATAAAATCAAAAAAAAAGTTTTCTTGGTTACGGCTGAACTAACAATAACAATAATGTTGGTGATATGATAACAACTATTTATAGAAAACCTGCAGATACATTGTGTTTTTTGCACTATGAATCAAATCACCCTTTACACCTAAAATCTAACATGATTTTTAATCAAGCCCTGAGATATAAAAACTTATATTTGACAACAATATCCTGATAAAAGGGCTTAAGACCTGAGCATAAA